AGAGAGAGAGAGAGAGAGAGAGAGAGAGAGAGAGAGAGAGAGAGAGCGAAGAGAAAGAGAGAAAGACAACGAGGGATGTAAGGTGAGAGTGCGAGACTGGGAGATTGAACTCCCAGTTCGCTCGAGCCAATCCAGAAAGTAATTACCGAATTTCGACGCGCGGCCACGTCTGCACCGAACGCACAAAGGGAACTCGCGTCATTCGCGTTCGAGTTGGTCGGCGCGAAATATTATTGTCCCCGTAGAGTTTGATCGTGCCATCGAATAAACGTTTGTCACACGCCGTGCAATAAAAGTTCATCTCTCTAGAGTACTTTCGCAGAACTATGAAACAAATTAAAAAACTGTTTTGTAACTATCGATTATTGATCAGAAACTTTATACTTGACACTATACCTATTTGTTACTTATAGGAAAATTCTTAAAAATTATTTCATGAGTACCCATCTGGTAATAAAATTAGATTAATTTCATCCTACATAAATTTAATAAATTGGGAGAATGTGCAACAAGAATTGCACGTGAAAAGCATGAGACTGGGTAAGCTGAAATTGAGTACTTTCATCACATACAGGGAAATTTGAGATATTAAATTCCCACTGCGTCCGATCCAATCGTAAAAAGCAATTTCCGAATTTCCAAGTGCCTACGTTGATTCGACAAAAGGAACATGTTAAAGCTTATTTCGAAATATCGTTCATTATCTCAAGTGATTGATTACAAATATCAACGCGAATCCTTATTGCAATATAAAAATAAAATGAGTAGAAAAGCTGAAAAATTTAATTAAACGTTAATTAATTCTTGACTGTAATTGATTGTATAATAATATTTTATAATAATATTATTATTGTAAATAATATTTTAACAAAAATAATACAATATATAAATAATTATTTAATTAATAAAAAATAAAATAGGTAAAACTATGAAATAAAACAAAAATAAGAAATTATGAAATTAATAGAACATCGCAAATTAAGAGAAAATAATGACACTTTTTATAATTTTAATTATAATTTATAATCATTTTTTGAAATAA